TTAGCTTTTAAATGCTACGCTTTACTAAGAGAAAACTGAGTAGTTACCTCTATCCAGTCAATGTAATTAGAACAAAATAAACGAATAGGATTATCTATGGCCTTGTGGTTTTTTATTTGAGTCAAATTGGCAAAAAAAAGCTCTTTTGATTGTTCGAAGTCCAAGTCAGTTTCTTTATCTATAAGATTGTTTAAAAAAGTTTCAAGACACCATTTTGACGCTGGCTCTTTATAGAAGAATCCATGTAAGCCTAAAATTTTTTTAGGACATTTGTATTCAAAGTACTTCGAGCTCTTCAAGCGTGGTCCCTTGAGAGGGTCGTCCTTCATCAAAAAGAATTTCTAATAAGTAGGAATTTAAAAGAAGTGAGAGTAAAATAACCAGTAATGAAAATGAAGAGAAAATAACGAAAGTTTGTAGAAAAGTATATCGAATATATAACAAACGCGAGTCTTAGTACGTGTCTAGTGTCTACGTATGATTAAATCAACCAATAGTTGATCTTGATTTTTTTGATTTTAGAAAAAATTGTTTATAAATTTATGACTGCGTCTGACAGTTTTGATCTCTTGCTAATCATTTTAGTTATCCGACCCATGGCTACTACGCCTGGCTACAGCCGGTGGTTGATACATGGAAGTGTGAAGTGGAGCTAGCATTCGAGACTTTGCGATATTATTCACCGTGCATGGTTACATCTGGTGTAAGCCTGAAATGGCGCTAGCAATGAAACTTTGCAATCCTATAACATTGTGCCTGGCTCCAGCCGACAGTTGTTATAGAAGTATAGGCAGAATGTGTTCACGCCTGGCTACAGCCGGTGACTATTCTTACTTATAAAGGTAACCATTATTACTGCGTCTGGCTACAGCCGGCAGTTTTTGGACTTTTTATTGTCAATATGCTGTAATTTTTAAGTAATTAATAATTTTTGATCATATCTCTACTAAGTTTTCCCACCCCAAGATTAAGAATATCAACGGCTACAATACCACACATATCATCTAAAGAACATTTCTTTTCTTTCATAATCTTATCGAAAATAATTTTAATTTGTTCCAGATTACTGAAGATATATCCGAAAATGATAGTCGGCTCGAATCCGAGGAATTTGATGTAGTCTCGCTTTGCTGGTCAAATCCTCTCCTATTAACAATCTGAACAAGGGAACGTTGTTGATTGATTTCACTCCGGAGTGTTGTTAACATCCTGCCGACCGACTCGAAATCAGTTGTAATTTGACTAAAATTATTGTGGTAGGTTTCTAGAACTCTCTCAATTTCGTTATACTGTAGTTATATTTTCCATGTATCATGTTAATGATACTTTGTGCCTCCGTTGCATAATTAGCATCACGGGAACTCATTTTTGCGATAAGATCGTTTTTAATTTCGACTCTGGTCTTTCCGATTAGTTCAGCGATAATGTCATTCAATTTTTGTGCGACATAGTATAAGAAAAAACATGCGCCGACAATCCCATACACAGACAAACATATTCGGGAAATATAGTTATGAGAAAGAAAAATAGAGATACAGATAGAACCATA